AGCTGCTCAGCTACCGAGCAGGGACGGAGGACTAGAACGGGTGGTGGGTGGTAGTGTCCACACGGGAAGGAACCAGGAAAGGCTGATGGGAAGCGAGGGGTGTGTACCACCTCCAGGGCACTCGGCCCCCATTCATTGGGGTCCACTCTCATGGTGATAGAGGTGTCTCCATCAGATATCTCAGAAAGTAACAGCGGCTCTGGATTCATATGTTCTCTCTTCATATCTGTTTAATTCTCAGTATACGCTGTCCTCTCTGAAAGGAGTATGGCTAAGCCCCACACAGAAGTCTGATTTTGCCTTTGCTTGTCTAGCCTTTCTGGGCCCTCCATCCAGTCCCTTCGGCCCCTCATGGCCCTGGGTCCTGCCTCAAGTGTGAGCCTGCAGTGGGAGACATGAGCATTGATGCTCAGCTCAGTGGGGCTGGTGACTTACAAGTTGTTCTCTCGTCTGCAACAGGTCTGCCTCTTCGGGAACTCCGAGGTGTCCCTGCGGGACCACCTGCGGGCCGGGGCCTCTGAGGAGGAGCTTCTGAGGATCATTGGGGCAGCAGTGGGTAGGAAGAAGCGGCAACATGCAGGTAAGGGCTGGGCGGGAGTGGGCGGGACTGAGTGGGAGTGGGCGGGACTTAGCAGGAGTGTGGGGGCTGCGTGGGCGTGGCCGAGTGGGAGTGGGCGTGGCTGAGTGGGAGTGGGCGGGCTGAGTGGGAGTGGGCGGTGTTGCGTGGGTTAGTGCCAGGAAGTGTGAAGGAGAGGGTGGAGGATAAAGCAAGCCTGGGCTAAGGTGCCCAGTTCAGTGTCCTGGCCACTGGCCATTCCTATTGGAACTTGGACATGGGGCATGGTGGTTGTTCTTTGAGGAAACTGATGTAGCATAGGCTACACAGGGGGACCCCAACATTCTCCAGCACTTTTATTAGGCTAAGAGATAGCACTGGCCCCCTGGATTCCCACGCGTTCCTTGTCTTTGGGAGAGAGGGAGGCAGGACCAGGTCCCTGGGCATTCCCAGAGTGTTCTCGGGGCTCCACCTGGGGTGACCTTGCAGTGATGTGTGTGATTCTTCGTCAGAAGGCCTGTGTCTGTGCACAGGCCTTTGGCTCCATCCATCCGTGTTTCAGTGAAATCTCCCTTCTCTCTCCTCCCCTGCTTTCCTCTCTGCTCATCCTTCCCTCACACCAGGCATGTTCAATATTGCCCAGATGAAGAACCGGCCCATGATCCTCATCGGTGGGTGACCTATCAGTACGTAACTACTCACCCTTGTCACTTGGGGGGTCCTGTGGGGTGGGTGGCGGTCCCCTCTGTGAGACAAGCCTTGCTCTGCCCCTAATATTCTTCCCTTATTTTGAAATGTCTTCTTTCATCTTTTCTTAAACCTTCCATATCTGCTGTCTCTTCCCTGCCCACAGCAACCCTTCTGTCTCCAGACTATAGAGTGGCCTTCTCCCTCTCTCAAAATCAGGGCAGAGGCTTCTACAGACCTGATACTCACGGAGTTAGCTCTCTTTGGAGAGTAGAGCTCCTGGTTAACATAGAGAGCTTCTCCTCGACTGTGGCATCCCCCAGCAGGACGTAGATGTCCCTTTTCTGCCACGTGGAGCCACCTGTACGTATGTGTGGCCCATCAGTTGTCTTGGTCAGGCATCAGGTGAGGCAGCTCTCTGAACACCAGGATTTGACCTTTCCCTGTCCCTTAACGCCAGGGACTGTGCACAGGAGAATCTCAAGTGGATGGTGCTTCTTCAAGTGAAAATACCACTTCATCAAGCTCCAGGTAGTCTGGGAGGGCCTGCTGCTCTGTTCAGTGTCCAGGTGGCAGCAGATAAAGCCTGGATCCCCTAGGACACACCCCGATCCAGGCCTTCAGAATTAGCACATTGGAACTGAAAAAACACTAAGAAACTTGAAGGAAAGTTCCTTCCTCCAGAGTTTGGAGCAGAATGGACACAGAGGTCCAGAGCAAAGTAGATTCCATGGGCCCGAGATAGCCCAGTGACCACCTCTGCACACCGGCCACCCAGAGCAGGAGAGCAGATGACAGGCATTCCACTGGGGAAGGGACCTTAGTCACCTCTCCCCCACCTACCCCCACAGCACTGGGGGTCTTGGCCTAGGCGTATACATCTTCACAGCAAGGAATGGGGATGTCCTGCTGGCCTTCCCTCCAACAGACAAGGGTGGGACTCAGGGTGTGACGGAAAGGGAGAAGCTAGGGACACCTTTGCTTCATGCGGACTCTCTTATGTGAAGTGTCTGGAGAGACTAGACTGGCCTGGTTTTCACAAAACAAGAGTTGCCTCGGTGAGGGTCTCTGACCTCCAGGAGCCTGTGAACCACTCAGGGACCCTACCCCTGAGGCCCCTGAGTTGCTAGGACCATGGTGAAAGTACCCACTCCTTGTGAGTTCTCAGTGGCTGCTGGTGTCAGGTGCTGACGCTGGTCTTTGTTCTGTGAGGAGCAGCAGCCCTAAGGTTTTCTGGAATCTGTCAATTGATGTCCTTGTGGGGACTTGACGTTGTTGAAGTAGATGAACTGTTGGCTAGTGTCTTGGCCTCAGAATGACATTGCTGTTCGTTCCCCACTGGAAGTCTCAAGGTAATAATACCTGTGATTGGTGGTTCAGAGTGAGACCCAGCTAGTTTTAGGAAAATGAATGGACATCAAAAGGCTGTTTGATCCAGGCATCATTCTTCAGGCCTAAGGTATGTCATAGGAAAACTTTGGGGACCAAGTTCAGAAGCACAGGGGACCCGGAAGTGACCTTGCACCACCACTGCCTGAGGAGAACAAACGGAAACTGGGCCCCTCTGTTTGCTTCCCTCTCTGTCTGCTTAGCAGCTCTGGCTCTCCAGACCAGGCTGGCCTCGAACTCACAGAGTTCCACTTGCCTCTGTGGGGATTAAGGCTTGCCCTGGCTCCGCTTTCGTTCTTCCTTCTCCCCGGTGTGAGTGAGAACTCTGGTGGGACAGCGAGGGTCAGGAGACAGGTGGAGACAGGGCTCGTTTGGAGACTCAGTCTCTTCTTTGCTTTCTGCCTTTCAGGGTTGCCTTGGATGCTTCGAGATTCCCCACCAGCTAGTTGGAGCACTCTCTCCCTGGATCCCCTCCATGTTCGGAATCTGAGTGTCAGAGAGACTCTCTCTGACCAGATGGCAACTTTGTGGAAAAGACTCCGTGTCCCCACGGCCCTTCCTCTGTCTCAACAGTGCCTGGGGTCCGGCTCCCCTCAGAGACACTACAGCTGCTACCCAGACTCTGACACTCACTCAAAGTGCCTTAGCATAGGATCCCAGGATCCTGCTGTCCCCTCAGGACCAGGGCTGACTTCAACTCAGCTCACTCATGTGGACTCAGAAGGACGGGCAGCTATGGTAGATGTGGGCGGGAAGCCAGACACAGAGCGGGTGGCTGTGGCCTCTGCCGTGGTCCTTCTTGGACCCGTGGCCTTCAGGCTTGTCCAGCAGAACCAGCTGAAGAAGGGCGATGCCCTGGCAGTGGCCCAGCTGGCTGGAGTCCAGGCAGCCAAGCTAACTAGTCAGCTGATCCCCCTGTGCCACCACGTGGCCCTGAGCCATGTGCAGGTACAGCTGGAGCTGGACAGCACGCGCCACGCCGTGCTGATCCAGGCATCCTGCCGGGCCCGAGGCCCCACCGGGGTAGAGATGGAGGCACTGACCTCGGCTGCCATGGCTGCCCTTACCCTGTATGACATGTGCAAGGCAGTCAGTAGGGACATCGTGGTGGCAGAGGTAAAGCTCATCAGTAAGACCGGAGGTCAGCGCGGGGACTTCCATCGGGCTTAAGAGTGCCTCACTCGCCCCAATCTTGTCTCCCAAGGGGATGCAATTTGGGTGGAGGAAAAGATGTCACATTCCTCTTAATCTAGTCACTATGACCTAGGATCACCCTGTCTCTTTACCACTGATATTTATTCTAACCCGTGAGGTGTCCTCAACATGAAGACACCTCTGGCCTTGACACCTTCCAGGACTCCAGCAGTGGAAGGTTTGATACGGGATACCCCCCACGCCATGTCATATTACTTGGCTTGTTTCAGATGGACAGCTTCAGGCAGCCCTTCTCATTTAGGGTTCTCTCTTCTCTTCCCTGGGGAGATAATAAGGGCTCATAAGGAGAGGAACCCACTTTGAGGAAGGAAAACCACAGCTCCCTAAAGAATGTATCACAGGATCCCCACTCCCTGGCCTCCGGCCCTGCTCCAGCAGGATGCACACTTTCGGACTACACCCCCAAGGACTCGTGCCAGCCTTTACGCACACCTGGTTCTGCTTACTGCGGTCTGCCCACACCTCTCTACTCTGGCACACATCAGGGAAAGAAGGGCTGACGGTGACCTTCACCCTCACAGCGCACAAATAAACCCACGGCGCCAGCTTTGGAGATGAGGCATGAGGACTCTTGTCTGTGAAAAGAGCACAAGCTGCTAAGTTTTACCCATCAGCCCCATCCCAAGATACTCCCTGCAGGGGGTGGGTGGGAAGAGGAACCCTAGGAAGGCAGGCCAAGGGGCTTATTCTCTGGACTCCCCAGGGCGACCGTGGGAAATGCAGGTGTGGCCTGAGGCAATGTGACTGATGGGTGGCCTGGGCTCAGCTGCATGGCCAACTCTTGGAGAGTAGGCTTGTGAATTAAGTAGAGGCTCCTAGTTTATGTACCCCAAACAATGGCCTAGCATGCGGGGTTATCAAAGCTGGGTGGCGTCTTAGGTCTGTCTGCAGTGGTGGCCCTGGCCTGGCATTCCCTCCGCCTTGTACAGAGGTGTGGTAACAAATGTTTAACATGTTCCCGACTCAAGCGTCCACGGAACCTCAATTGGCTTGAAACATTCCAGAAAATGTGCATTGGCACTCATAGAACTGGTAGGAACTAGGTCCAGCCCACCACTGGCCCTGCCCGCCACTGGCCCTGCCCGCCACTGGCCCTGCCCACTCTAGCACAACCCAAGTCCACATGGGGGAGAAGATAAGTTTATAGGCAGGCTGGGGGTGGGGATGAATTTAATAGTTTTTAGTATTACAATATATTCTTATAAAAGGGTGCGGGTAAGAAGGACACTGTAGAGTTCTGTACATATGAACCTCATTGTCTTCTGCAGCAGCTGTTGAGGGTGGCCTTGGCATGAAGGTTGGCAGATGTCCAGGGAGATGGTCACAGCTCCCGAGTTGGCGTCAGTAGGGGTGGATGTGAAGACCCCATGCCTATCTCCACCTACCTGGAGAGTTTTGTCCTTCCGTCCCCGGACAAACTTCCATCTTGGGAAGGGAATGGCCTCTGCTGAGAAGGGTGTGTTGGCTGGACTATGAATCTTACATTGTGCACAAAGTTAACCGGAGCAGTTGACCCACAGGGGCAAGACAGGTGGAAGGCCCTGGGGCAGACTTCCTTTAACGTTGAGGACCAGCCTGTCCACCTCCACAGCACCAGTCACTCAATGGTCCATGCTCCAAGGCACTGTTGAAATCTGGTTACAAGGACATATAGCACCAGAGCCACTGGCCGGATTTGGAAAATAATAAATAGAGAAGGCAAAATTCTTTGGGGTGAGAAGGCTGGGCTCTGGAGAGATACCAAATGGCTTTTCTGAGGATCCGATGTGTTCCTTCAAGAACTTCCGTCTTCCTTGTCTTTCCTAGTGCATGTCCAGTCTTGGTGGTGTTTGGGAAGGCCAGAACACAGCATGCCTGTCTCCTGCCCCTAGCATGTTAGGCTGACAGCCTGGGCAGTTTGGAAGATGGGAAGATGCCCAGCTCCGTCCTCTCCATTCTTGATAGCTTGCTGGGGGGTAAGGCAGGGCCACTCTTCTTAGCAGCCCTTTGCCCTCTTAGGCTGGCTTCTTCCCACCCTACTGGCCTGTCTCCTACTTGCTGAGATGCCTCTCAGACCAGGGTACACGCCCCAGCTCAACGCCGTGTTTCTCCTCCCCGCAGCTACTATGGCCCCACCCACTGGGAATCTCATGTAGAAAAACAGAAGGTGGGCAGTTATAGGAGTGAGCATCCCGCGGCCACTGGCAGTGACCCTGAGCCAGGCGGTTAGATGGGAAGAGCCGGGGGCTGGTGGATGGTAATCAGGCAAGATTGGTCTCAGGATGAGAGGGGACAGAGGTGCATTAGATAATAAGAACCTTCATGGAGTTGATCTTACCCTGCTCCATTTAGAACATTTGCCGAGATATAGTAGTGCTACCACCCATACCATCAACAACAACTGAAGATGGGCAGAACAGAAGATGAGTAAGCAGGAGGAGGGCCAGGATGGTCCCATGCAAGTCAGGCCGGGGAACCAAACTGAGCACAGATGCAGGAGCAAGCCCTGACGTGAGCGTCCTACACAAGCCCTGAAGTGAGCGTCCTACACAAGCCCTGATGTGAGCGTCCTACACACGCTCCCCTTCCACCCTCACCTCAGCTTTTCCTGCCTGCTCTTCTCAGCCCCATCTCCCCATGTCTCCCTCAGAATGACAGTCAAACGTGGAGGGTGGGTCCAGCCCTCCGGAACAATTCCCAAAGCCAGCTGCAGCCAAGTATATGGAGCTCCGCTGTGACCTCAGATGGAGACTGAGAGGCCACTGTGGCATGGAAGGGGTCAGCTGAGTGGAATGGTAGCTTCCCCAGGAGTGACGTATTTGAGTGTTGTCCTCTGGTGAGGAACTGCTGGGAACTCAGGTCACTGTCTCTCCAGGACAGTGGTCAGGTTGCACTGGGGTTTGCTTTGGGGTCCCTATGCCTAAGCCTGGTGAGGTGATGAAGGGAGTCTTTCTTGGACACCCCTCCTTACCAGAGCCATACTGTAAGCTGGTGGTGGGCCAGAGTTTTGCAATCCAGAGAAGAATTTGGGGACAGGAGATTTAGTAGATGGGATGAAGGTGACTGCGGGGAGAGGAGAGGCCCCAGGACTTGCTCTAGGAAAAAGGCAGACAACTCGCTTGCTGGCTCTGGTCCCTTTCTACATGTGTTCTTCTGGAACATGCTAGAGCTTATCTCGATAGAACACATAAGGCCCCTCTTTTCCATCTCAGCTCCATGTTCCATTGAGCTGTCTTTTCAGAGAGCCACCTAGAGTCCCTGCTGCTGGTTTTTGGGTCCCACTGCACCACCACACACTGTACAAGAGGTCTGAAAAGGATGTGGTCTCCTGGATTTTGAACAGCGCTGTGCCCACATGAGGTGTGGAGAACAGTGTTCTCCAGCCTGGGATTTCCTGGCCAATGCCCAGGGCCTGCCAGGGATGTCCATGCTAGTCTTAGAGAATGATGGCCAGGAGAAGGAGGGGCAGAGAGAGACAGGATGCGAAGGAGCAATGTAAAGGGAGATGAGACACGGCCCTGTGTCGGTGTGGGAGACACCCGGTCTAGCCGCACACAGCCCCCGGGACCCAGCCCAGGGCTCCCAAAGCCAGCTTTCCAAACCACTGGAGTCACTGCTGCGTCTGTTCAAATCCTCTCCCCTGCTCCCCGTCTCCAGGCCTGCCGCCATGTGGCCGGTCCCCAGCCCCCAAGTCAGTGCTTTAGCCTGCTTATCGCCCTCTCACGGGCGACCTCTGGGGCCTGCGTCCCTGCTCGCTTGCGGTTGCGCTTGAACTTGCTCAAGTCCTTGTCAAAAACTTCTCCCGAGCGCAAGGCCGACACCAGGTCATCGAACTCGCCACTCTCCTCCAGGGTGCCGCTGGCCAGGACCTTCCGCTGCCTCTGCCACCTTTCCTTCTCACGTTGTTCCTTCAACTGAGAGTGGAAAGGAGGCGACTGAAGGACACAAGCCTGTGTCCCTCAGCCCTCCTCATCCTGGATGCTCTCCCAGCCCAAGCCTACCCGGCCCTGGACACGTTTCACCTGCCAGGGACCACTCTGCTTCTCAAGGTGCTCCCCTCCCTTACCTTACACGGCTTTCTTCCCAAAAGCTGGGAGACGTCTCTCTCTTCTGGGGCTAACAGCAGCCCCTAACGTGCCTATTTGCTCTCACAAGTCCAAGCAGCGTCCCCTTCACACCCGCCTCTGCCGCATCCTGTGCCCAGCCAGGCCCAGCCCTCACCATGGATTCCATGCGTGCCCTCCGCTCCTCCTCCTCCTTCCTCCTCCTCATGGCCTCCAGGTCCTGCCTGGCCTCCAAGAAGGCCTGCAAGAAGGTATCAAAGATGCCGAAGAACTCATCTGGCTGCATCTTGCTCTCCTGCTCCCCAAAGTGTGTCAGTGCCTTGGCAAACTGTAAAGACACGGGTAGAAGCCTGCAGTCAGCTAGCTCCCAGCTGAGCCCAGACCAGGCTAGGGGGTTGTAGGCATGGGACAGATGGCTCAAACCCCAGGGTTCACCCATGAACGTTTCAATCCAAAATTCACTAGTGATTCATTCTGTCCCTACCTTGTTATTCCTCACAAAAACCGCGAGGCTGGCTTCTGGGGAGATGGGTTGAGACTACCTGATGGTCTACCTTCGCACCACCTCTGGGTCTCTTCTATTGTAGGTGTGAGACCAGGAGACGGTGACTCGGGGAAGACTTATCTAAGATCATATACTGCATGGCTGGATTGGAAAGGCCCTCACAGGCCAGCTAATCACTGGCTGACTTAGTTGACTTATCTATGGTCAGGTACTGCATGGCTGGATTGGAAAGGCCCTCACAGGCCAGCTAATCACTGGGTGACTTAGTTGACGGGTGACCTACTTAGCCCCTCTGTGACTCAACTTCTTCACCTCTAAAATGGGGATCAGCTGCATGGTATGGCTGTGACAGTTAAATGGGGTGACAGAAGCCACTGGCTCCGTGGACATGAAGCAGGCACCACTCTGACTTTGAGCATTGTGTTCTCTCTCCCAGCTCACATAATATCATCTAGGAAACATGTCCCAATGAGACCCTGTTTCAAAAACTAAGGTGGTCAGCTACTGAGGAAAGACCCTCTGGTCTCCACATGCATGTGTACAAAAGCACACACACAAACATACACATACATACACAAAAATAAAATTTAAAATGATGCTGATGGTGCCTGGATACCTACAAAGTGCAGCCTGATCTCTGCAGTATGAGGTTGTCATTGCCTTGGAGGAGAGAGGGGAGAGGAATTCTCTAGGCTCTGAGGTGCTGGGTTTGTCCCTGTCCATGATAGGACCAGGTGAAAACACCAGGCCTGGAAGAGATGCGCTGAGGACCAGTGGGGGGTGCTGGGCCACCTTTACCTTATCCCTGGCCTCATTGAGCTGGTCCTCCAACTCTGAGAAACTGAAGCTGGACACTGTGATGAAGTCACTCATGACAGGGACAAACTTGTCATTGGGGTCCCGTGGCTGGTGTCTTTGATATTCCAACTCCTGGGAAGGGAGGATAAAGCATGATTTAGACAGAAAGAGATCAGGGGCCATTATATGCTCCTCATTAACCGCAGGACATCACACATGCCTTTGGAAAAGATGACACCTGGGTTCACAATTCTACAGGTAATATCGTTTCTAAGAGCTGTTGGTCTGTACAGTTATTCACATCTTTCCCTAACTCATCACCACCGTTGTCCTTTCATTAACGACTTTTGAATGAAGTATGACCAGGACCAAGCAGCATTGTCTGGGAAATCTTGCTGCTAGGCTATGGTCCACACTCTAAGGAGCACTTTCCAGGACCATCAAAATGGAAGCCGTCACCCATGGTAACAACAGAAGGCTCTCTAATTCTTAACTTCAGACTGAATCAATTCTCCTCTTACCCTCCCTCTTCCTTCAAGGGAATTCTGGGAAAAGTCTTTAGTTCCCAAATGTGAGGGACAAAGAGTTGAAGATATCCCAGAGAGTGCATCAGCTATGAAGCTATGACAACAGCAATGGCGGTCACATGACCAGAGGCCCAGTGCTGGGATCCAGGGTCTGTGACTCCTCATATTCCTGTATGAGATCCCAACCCCTAGGGCAAAGCAAGGAGGTGGGATCTCACAGGTGCACCCAAACGTCTGACACTATGACACGGTGTTGTCATCTACAGAGTGCACCCTTGAGAAGTACACAACTGAGTTATGAAAAGATAATCATAAAAAAATCCATAATGTCTTAAGTAAGTCTGTGGTTTTGTGTCAGGCCCCGTTCAAAGCTCTCCTGAGGCACATGTGGCCTACGGGTCATGGGTGGGACACGCCTGTCAAGTGAGGAGGTCATAGGGCAGAATCTTTGTATAGTGGCCCTATACAAGAGCCCCAGGGAAGTGTGTCCTTTCTAGCAGGTGAGGACACAGTGAGAAGTCCCACCCATGAGGACCAGGCTCTCACTAGACTTCAGACCTGCTGGCACGTTGATCTTGAATGACCCACCCTGCCAAATTACAAGAGGTAAATGTCTTTTGCTTATAAAAGCCGCACCATTGATGGATTTGTTTAGCCACCTCAGCGACTAAGATACCAGAATTCTCATCAGTGAGTGAATGAGCCCTCAGAGCCCCCACTAGTCCATGCATGAAGGGAGAAGATGTAAGGCAGGATCTCAGGGGATGGCGGTCCCACGGCCACACTGCTGTATGCCTCCTGTAGCCAGCTCTGTCTCTGCATTCTCTATGATCAAATATGAGCATGTGACAGTCCTAGGGTGCAGTCTGTCATGTGGACACCCCCCTGCTCAGTGACATAGAGACATCCTCAGACAGACAGCCCTTCTGTAAGGGTCGAAATGTCTAAATCCCCAAGAAGGTGGATCACTTTCTCCCCAAAGCTCTGTCCACTGTGTGGCTGTCCTACCATTCCCCCCGAGTCACCCTGGGTCATCGAAGTGCATCCCACAGGGCTTCTGCTGCCTGAGATGTGGGGGTGGGGCATTGGATCCAGTGATGGCAGCAATGTGGCTTCTCCGTGGGAAGCCTCCACTGGGGCCCAGCAAGCTCACTTACCACCTCCACTGCTCGGAGACCCCTTTTGAGATTGCCCACCTCCTTCTCCAGCTCTGCTAAGCTGTGGGGAGACAAGGGGAGGGAAGAGACCCGTCAGCTCTGGATGTGAGGAGCCAGGGGTGGTTCGGGGAAAGGGCAGCTCGAAGCATGGGGGCCTTGCATCCCAGCCCCTCTTAGGCCCCTCAAGATCACCTCCCTATGTGCCTGTTGGTGTCTGTAAGTGTC